TATATATATATATATATGCATGGCGTCCATATAGCTCAGTGGTTGATGCGCCAGCCTACGGACCGGGAGGTCCGTGGTTCGAGCCCGGCCTCTGCATCTCGACTTCTTTTGTCTGGATTTGGGCAACCTGGCAGTAGCCCAGCCCTCGTGTGTCCTACCGTTGACATGGCAGCTAAGCACAAAAAAGGTGCAGTTGCCCCCCTGAATAGAACTCAGCCAGATTTACACACCTAAAAAATAACAAGGGTGGGGAAATTTGGGCCTACTACTACCCCCCAACAAGAATCACCCTTCTCCATATATCGGGGAAGACAATACTCGCGTCGTTCTCGCCATCAGCATCATCATTGCTGGGATGCTCACCATCTAAGTTCAATTCTACCGTTTGCTTCCGGTGCGTCCTATTGGCACCACCTAAAGAGCACAACAGCTGTAATTTCCACTCAAGGGAGTGTTCTCACAGTTTATGTCGAAAACGAAAAGTGCGTTTCATCATGGAGCGTGAGCTTCAAGTTTGTCAGTCTAGACGATAGTCCACGCCGGTTTCGACCTTCTTCGGGCCTATCAGGTAGGTGCAGTCCCCGAGTTTCTGACAACTTTATGTTGAGCTGGACGAAATTAGCCAAATACTCTCAGTTCCACACTAACTACTCTTTAACGGGAGGCTTAACAGAATCCAGCTGAATTCCTCTTTCACGGTTGTCTTCTTCAACTGAATCAGCTTCACGATGCTTTAGTTGGCACGATATTCGAGATATCGCAGTAGTTTGTCTAGACGTAACACACTACCGCGACATCTCGTATATATCGTACAAAATGAAACGTGCGGAGGCCTTGAATAAAGCAAGAGATTCGGCCAGATTCAGCCACGTCTCCCCGCAAAACCAAGTTAATGTGTTTGCGTGCGTGTGTTCGTGAGTGTATTTGAGTGCTACGCGCCCCCACTCAGTCTTGTGGTCAGCAATTCAAGCAATTCTGTGTCCCGAAGGCGGAACGAAGATAGTTCGGTTCAGTCGAACACACCCGCGGACCGAGTATCATCGGAAATCGATGAACATTTCATTTCCCTGAAGCTTCTGCCTTGGATTATGTGTGTCACGTTTCTGTAACCCTTGAAGCTTTATTTTGCTGAGCTTGCGTTCTCTACAAGCAAATCTGTTCTAGGCATGCTCCATCAATTTAGTGATTGAATACACCAGTATGACAGCTGATCAATAGAGCAACAATGATTTGGCAAGGAAGCCATCTATATTGCAGAAACGTTCCTTTACGTGACGTTAAACTTGGAAACAATCAATCAAAATGACTCAAAGAAGGATGGAATGGGGGAAATGTTAGGATACCAACTTCAGACAGTAGGATTTCGCGAACACATTTGATGCAAATGTCTCCAAAAATATTCCATCGTGTTGGAATGATAGTTCAGGCGGTATCAACTGTGGAGAACAGCACAGTATACAGTGTGCCATAAACTGCATTCAGTACACAAACAATATACAGGGTGTCTCATAATAGACGCAAAATTTGATTGGGCGAGTAAACGTAGCCAATCGGAGGAACGATGACGAAATCTTTCATTATTAGTAGCCACATAAAGGAGGTTTTATGTGCGAGTGTTGGAATTTTTTTGTCTACGATGGATGTCAGTACACGCATTTAAATTGTGAAACTCTACTATTCCCTTGGTGAAAGCGCCACCGCTGCACTTCGTGCTTACAAAAGCAAACATGGTCTCATCAAAGATCCTTTCACCGTGTCGACCATTACACGCTTGGTTGCGAAATTTGAGTCCACTGGATCTGTATCGGATTTTCCTGGCAAAGGGAGAAAGTCTCCGAGTGATGAAAGAGCGCCCCTTGTACAGAATGCCATCGAGCAACATCAGTCCCATGGCATCTTCGTCAATAACTCGGGTGTCTCAGTTGACCAGCATTCCGCGCGCCAGCGTGCATCGTATTATCAGACACCAGCTTCATCTCGAGTGACGCTTGAAGAAGTTAAACATGCTGTCTCACACGTCATACCGCCTTCAGCTTGTTATAGAAGAAAGAGGCGGTTTCTTTCAACATCTTTTGTAATGCCAGTTTGTTCACAGTAAACCTCCATGATGCATATATGTCCACATAAAAAATGATGTGTTTGAATTGGTATTGAGGTTTTAACATGGGTATTATTCTTCACGTCTATTATGAGACACCCTGTAGACACCTCATATATATATATATATATGATATTGTGTATGAAAAATTGACTATTTGACAGGTCCTCCAGAAGAGGAACCGTCCAACCACACAGACGGCCTCCAATACAATGGCCCCTCATAATTTTAACCCCGAAAAAGGCAAACCTTTCCGACTGCGACACAGGAGAGGTCGTGATTTGGAAACACGAAGAGCCAAACACTACGACAGTGAGGCAAAACTACACGGTTGTATTAAACAGGGAGTCGTTGCAGTAAAGGCCGTCTGACGGACGGCGAGCAGAGTCACTGAAGAGTGGTCCAGACGATCGTGAGACAATGTGCCTGAACGTTGAAAACAAGCTAGCTATTCGGAGGTGCACCAGTCACCCCGGCGCGCAACATTTGATCGGCCCTGTGGCTCACCAGAGTACCCACGAGATTACCCGTGAAACACAACCTAGTAGACTGAGGTAATCTTGTTGCATTCACTATTTGCCTGGACGGGAATAGCACTAACCGTACCTGTAAGCTGTAGCACCCCTTAGGCGCCTAGCTGCCATGCCGCCCGAAGGAAGCACGAGGGCCGAGATACTACCACATTGTCCAAGTCTAGAGAGGAGCAGTCTGGATGCCGAGGTTGGGTCTGAACCACGGATTTTCCAGTCAGTAAGTTCGCCCTTTAAACACTGAGCGATTATTGAATGAACAGTGCTTTTGCGGGCGATCCCCGCAAACACTGGGACAGTAACATGGTGAAGAAAGTGCAGTAGGGGGCTCGAACCTGGAGTGACAGATGAATGACGCCCGTACCTCAGTGAGAAACAAGCGATGTACTATTTCAGGTACTCATCATTCGGACATCACTTTTGTGAGTGGCAATTCACCGGTAGTGATAACTGGTGCATTACTGTTATAAAACCGTGGGAGAAGGGCTTGGTAAACAAGAGAAGGAAGAAGGGGGGCTGGAGAACAACTGCAAACAAACCAAGAGCAGGCGGTACATACATACCTGCCAGAGCGATTGGAACAAACCTACCTCATCGCACATCGGTGGGACAAAAGCGATAGACTTTTCGAACCTTACTTACTGAAAACCCGACGACAGAGAAACATCAACCAGGCAGTCCAACCCTAGAAGCGATAACAAACTCAACACTGGGATCCGAGGCATGCCGTGTCCTGTAGGATTCACGGCTACGCACAAAGACAACCGTGTGGACCCTAAACGAGCAAGGTGTGAAGATCCCACAGGGTTCGACTTGACAGAAGCCGGTTTCATTTCGCGTTGCCAAACACTTCATCTGCCACAATGCGGTCACGACTTACGCAGCCGTGAAGATGAGTAAACCTATCAACCCAACCTCGTTCTGAAGTCTCAACTCACACAGACTCTGAAACCAGGTCGGTCACTGATTGGGGACCTGACTAACCCAGTCTTCTTGCCCTCCGCGTTTGGTAACTTGCTTACTGAAAATGAGGACTGCTCTGACGGTTTAACACCAACTAATGCTATCTGGCCCTTAAGCTTTTAAGGCAAATGATTGGTTGAAAACTCCAATCGTCCCCCCCCCCCATAGGTCTGGGTTGGTTTGACGGAAGTTGCTAACGCCAACACCTGCAAAAAGAGCATCTCTCAACGGAGACAGCCTGTCTTCGGTGCCAAAAGATGCAAACATTACACAATGCATTCCACCGCCTTTGATGGATCCACAAAGCGTCAATTTGGGTTCATAAAACCTCCAAAAGACACAAGTTTATTTGCCGCGTTGGACGTTAGGCCACTTCACCAGAGGCGGGATAATTTTGCCCGCCAGTCTCCAAAGAGATACCAACCCCAGGTGTGGCCAGAAGGCTTCCTCCACCTAAGGAAAGTCGTCTCTCTTTGAGAAATACACTCATTTGCAAATCAATTTGGCTTTCACGAGAGATTCAACTGAATCTCGCGTTTATGATATTCTATAACTGAATGTGCTGCACACAGACCGCCTCATGTTTCAGTTGGCACGATATTCGAGATATCGCAGTATACTTTCATAAAGGAAACTACTCACAAGGTCGCTGAAAA